CTCCATGTTTTCACCCAGGAGCCCAGTGCCTGGGCAGGGGCGGCTGCCCCCCAGCCCCCGCCTCCTGGTCTTCCACCTTCGGGGCCCGCCCAGCTGCCCGGCTGCCCTCTGATCCCGAGTGAGCCCTGGCCTCCCCAGCCTGCAGTCCACCACCCCTCCTGTTCCTGATTCTGTGATTTGCTCACTGCCCTCTGCCCTGCACACAGGTCTTCAAGCCTCCCCCGGAGGGGACACGGCTGTGTGTCGTGGCCACCAACGTGGCTGAGACGTCACTGACCATCCCCGGCATCAGGTATGTGGTGGACTGCGGGAAGGTCAAGAGGCGCTACTATGACCGTGTCACCGGCGTGTCCTCCTTCCGTGTCACCTGGGTCTCCCAGGCTTCGGCTGACCAGCGGGCTGGCCGGGCAGGCCGAACCGAGCCCGGACACTGCTACAGGTGGGTGCCGTGGACACCCTTTTCTGTCTTTTCCTTTTTTTTTTTTTTTTTTTTTTTTTGTAAAGAATTAGTTAGTTATTTTGGGCTGGAAGGTGGCGTGGGGGTTAAGCTGCCGGACTCCCACATGGCTGGCTGTGGTTCAAGTCCTGGACCTGGCAGCTTGCTTTCTCACTTTCCCTCTCTCAGTCTCTGATCAAATAAAAATGATAATAATAATGATAACAAATGGAATTAAATGATTATTTTTCAGAAAGAATTTGTTATTGAATTATATTTATTATTATTTTCAAAATCTCATATAGGGCACATGTACTCACCAGAGAAAGACAGAGAGAGTGAGAAAGCAAGCTACCAGGTCCGGGATTTGAACCAGAGTCAGCCATGTGGGAGACTAGTGCCTTAACCACTATGACACCTGCTGGCTCCTACTTTCCAGAATTCGTATTTGGGAGGGAAAGTGGCACATAAAGGGGATGCCGACTGTTCAGACCTCCCGTCAAGGGTCGCTGTGTTTTCATTTCTCTCGGGTGCGCTCCTCAGAGTGGAAGTGCTGGGTCAGGGGAGGACCTAGTGTACCCGGCAGAGCTGCCGGTGTCCTCGACCAGCCTCCCACCAGCCAGCCCACCCTCACACATGCCCGCTATTGGCAGTGTTTGGGTCCAGCCAGCCGAGGTTTCAGCAGTCTCCCCCTGGTTTCGGTTTATATTTCTTTTTTATTTATTTATTTATTTAACTATTTCATTATATTTTATTTAAATTTATTTCCCAGTTTGATCAGAGAGAAACAAAGATAGAGGGAAAGTGAGAACACAAGCCACCAGGTCCGGGACTTGAACTGCAGTTGGCCATGCTTGAGTCCAGCGCCTTTAATCACCACGCCACCTGCCGGCCCTCCGCGCTTTAAATTTCCCTATTAGCTCATGTGCTTATTGGCCTGTCTTCTCTGGAGAGCTTTCTTTTTCTTTAAGTTTGCCAGAGGCCACGTGCTCAATGGAGAGATGGGGAAAGCACCCCACAGTGGGCGTGGCGCTGCCTCCACCCACCTCGCCGTCTCCATCCTGTTGAGCCTGGGGCACACGCGCACATACACGGTGTGTTTTATTTTCTTTATTCTATTTTTTTGGAGTCACCAGAGGGCGCACACGTCTGCCCAGGAGCGAGAGCGACCGTGGGCAACGGTCATGGTCACACCGCACTCCCTTTGTCTCCCCTGCCCTTTGGGATTGAGGAGCACAGTCAGCACCTGGGAGGGGCTGCACGGGACTCAGCCACGCGGGGTCCGCTTCCTTGACCGCTAGGCCACACACTGGCCCGTCTGCTACAGGACACGTACGTGCCAGAAAGAGGCAGACTGGGAGAGTCAGAAATCAGCCCAGGTTTCCCTCCTCCTCTGCTCTCCAGTGGGGATCTTGGGCATGCATGCACATGCGCTGGGATGTTTTTCAAGCCGTCTGATCAAGGACTCACCTGTATAGTGCATTCCGTGCTCTCTTCTGGCCCGATAACCTGTCTTTTTATCGTTTGTTTATAAGATTTTCTTATGTAGGGGGGCTGGCAGGTGGCATGGTGGTTAGGGGTGCTGGACTCCCACATGGCTGACTGCGGTTTGGGTCCTGGACCTGGAAGCTTCTCTCTCATTCTGTCCCTCTCTGGTCAAATAAAATAAACAAACATCAATAAATGAGTAAAGTTAAATGGAATGACTTTTAAAAAAAAAGATTTCCTTATGTAATCTGGACATCAGAGCCTCGTTAGACATACCCTTTGCAAGTGAATTCCAGCCTGTGTTTTGAATAGCTTCATTACTGTTCTGTTCAACTTACTCTGAAATTACAGCTGTAAGAAATTTAGAAAACATGCTGAGAAAACTAGTGAGCATAACTGTGGTTAAAAATCTACTGAGTGTCTGGGGAACCAGCAGTTAGCGTAATGGCTATGTCGCTGGACTCCTATGTAGTCGACCGCAGTTCGCGTCCCGGACCCGGTGACTTAAAACTCACACGGGGGCATGTGCATGTGTGCCCAAGATCCTGAGAGGAGAATGGAGGAGAAGGGATTGCGGCATGACCATCCCCCCTGGGGGGTGGTTTCCTGCTTTCTGTCTCTCTGTCTCTCTCTGTCTGTCTGGCGAGCGCATGCGCCCTATAGCAAAAACCTCTCCAAAAAAAAGAGAAAATCTGAGTGTCCGGGCCACCAGATGGCATGGTAGTTAAGAGAACTGGACTTCCACATGTCTGACCATGGTTTGAGTCCCAGACCTGGTGGCTTGCTTTCTCACTTTCCCTCTCTCTCACTCTCGCTCTGTCCCTCTCTAGTCAAATTAAAGTAAATAAACTTAACTTAAAAAAAAAAAAAAAGAAATCTACTGAGTGTCGGTAGGTGTGTGTCAGGTTTTTGCCTCAGGGCACATGCTCGCACAAGTGAGAGAGGGCGAGTGGGAAAGTACCCCACGGGGTGGCCACGCTGCAGCCGCCTCTCCTTCATTATCTTCTTGGGATTGTTGGGCACGCACACAGGGGCCTGGCGTCATTTTAAAGCCTCCAGGTCTGGGACTCAAACCGTGGTCATCCGCGTGGGAGGCCAGTGCTTAACCACTACACTGCCTGCTGGCCCCACCGCAGCACTGTTTCGAGTCCTGTCCCTGTGTCACCTGTCACAGCTAATGTCACCAGGTTCCTCCGAGGCAGCTGCTAGTTAGCCACGTCAAGGGAAGGTACAGTAGAAGAGGTCAGGGTCCTGGCCTGCTGAGGGTCTGGGCAGCCCCATGTCCAGGTGGGGCTGCGGGCTGATCGTACCTCTCTCTGCCAGGCTGTACTCATCTGCGGTCTTTGGGGACTTTGAGCAGTTTCCGCCTCCAGAAATCACCCGAAGGCCTGTAGAAGACTTGATCCTTCAGATGAAAGCTCTCAACATCGAGAAGGTCAGCTACAGCGCCAGCCCTGCCATCACCCCACCCCGCGCTCCCTGCCCCCGGCCCCAGGGCCACCTCCCTTCCTTCCCTGCGGTCCGGGAGCTGAGCCGGCTGCAGTGCGCCCGGCCTATGCCTGCGGCTTGCAGAACCTTGCATCAGCAGCTGCCGTGGGGACCTCTGGTCCCCTGTGGCCACCACGGCCCCCATGTTGCATGCTTTGGGCCACTGGGACTAGCTGCCTGGAGCAGGGCTGGCAGCAAGGCCCACACTGTGTCTGGGCTGGGCTCTGGAATGTTCTGCCAAGTCCTCCCAGCTGCAGCCATCTCTGACTCAGTCCTTTGTGTGGAGGAAGACCTTGCCCAGCGCCCCTGCTTCTCTCCTGCAGGCAGGTGGGCCAGGCAGAGTGCCCCGGGCCAAATCCCTGTTCACCAGGTGGAGAAGCTGAGGCAGAAAGTGACGAGCTTTGTCCGGGAACACACACCTAAGGTGATAGAAGCCAGATAATCTTCCCTTTTTGCTTTTTTAAGTGTTTTACATTTATACCAGACAGGGCCAGTAGGTGGTGTAGTGGTTAAAGCGTTGTAGTCTCACATGGTCGACCTCGGTTTGAGTGCTGGACCTCGTGGCTTGAAAATCACACTGGTTGTATGTGCTCGTGTGCCTAAAATCCCGAGAGGAGAATGGAGGGGAAGGGCTTACGGCGTGGCCACCCACGCCGGGAGTGATTTCTCACTTTCCCTCTCCGGGGTCGTTTCTGTTACCTGGTGACTGACTGCACATGCCCTATAACAAAAATTTTTAAAAAAAGTATATTACAGAAGGAGGGAAGCACTCTCCTGGCACGTGGTCACACTGCAGTCTTCTCTCTGGTTTTCTCTCTTGTCAGTTTTTGGACGCGTACACACATGCACCAAGCGTGCTTTTTGTTTTTTGTGGGGTTTTTTTGCCTGAAGACACGTGTACTGGCAGGAATGAGTCAGAGGAAGGTGCCCCATGGGCACAGTCACATGACGGCCCCTCCTCCACCTGTCTCCTTCTGGGGTTACGGACGAGCATGCACACCCACCAGCCTCTCTCTCAAGCTGCAGGGACTGGGTGTCAGACCGTGATCAGCCATGTGGGGTCTGGGTTCTGTGCACTTACTGTTAACCAAGTGCTGACCTCATTGTTCTTTAAAAGCCTTTCCTTGGGGCCAGCAGGTGGCACAGTGGTTAAGACGCTGGACCCCTGCATGGCCAACCACGGTTTGAATTCCAGGCCTCGCGGCTTGCTTTCCCACTTTCCCTCTTTTTCTCTGTCTCTGTCCCAGTCTGCTGGGCACACGTGCCCTATAGCAAATTAAAATAATAATAAATGAAATTAGGGGGAGAAACTCCCCCCCGTGGGCCGGGTGCTGGCCTGATGGTTAAGACAGCTGACCATGCTGTTCAGGTCCCAGACCCCGCGCTCAGAAGCACTGGGTGCGTGTTTGTAGCCGACATCGCGAAAGGAGGGAGAGACGAGACCGGGGCGCGACCACGCCCCTAGGGGTCCTTTCTCTCCCTCTGTCCATCTCTGGCCGTTTGAAGAAAAGATAAAAGGTTTAATGAGGTGTACGAGAGCTCACACCCACCCAGTCCCCTCAGTGAAGTGTGTGTTTCCGTGCTGTAGGTCTTCACAGAGGGCGGTCACCACCGCCCGCGCTGTTCTTGTTTCCCTAAAGAGCCCGTGGTCCCTCCAGCCGTCACCCGGCTCCCAGCCCCTGGCGGGTCAGCTACCCTGTCTCTGCATTTGCCTCTTCGGGGCATTTCCTTCAATGGGCGCCTACCCTAGGCCAGCGCGGCCTGTGGGCCCGGGTCTCACGCGGGGCATTGCGTGGGCGGCGGGCCTCCCTGCTTCCCCAGCTGAACCTGGGCGCTGGGCGGACAGGCCTCGTCTACGTCGTCCCCCGTGATGGACGCCTGCCGCACCTTGTGGCCGCTGCGATCACACGTGTGCAGGTGCTCACGTCCCTCGCCACTTACTGTCTGGGCGGTTCTCCTGCGAAACGCTGCGCTCCTGTCCTGTCAGTCCCCCGTGGCCTCCTCTGCCGCGCACCAGTGCTCAGCAGCTGTCCGGGCTGCTGCCGAACCAGCAGAGGGTGTCGGTCAATGGCAGCGGCTCTGGGGCTGGCCTGGCATGGGCTTGGGAGTGCCAGGCCCTGTGCCCCTGCCGGCATGAGCGCTGCTCGGGCTATGGCCCTGCCGGGAGGGGGGTACCCCAGCACGCTGGAACGACTCCTCACTCTTCTGCGCGGTTCACTCTGCCCTTGCTGTCACCCGTGCCCCAGGTCATCAACTTCCCCTTCCCAACGCCGCCCTCCCTGGAGGTCCTCATAGCCGCCGAGGAGCTGTTGATCGCGCTGGGAGCCCTGCAGGCGCCCCCAAAAGCAGAAAGGTAGGGGAGGGCAGAGGGCGGAGGGCCCAGTCCTTGCCCCGTTCTCGGCCCCCTCCCCTTCCCCACCTGAGCTGCCCGAGCACTGGGGCCCCTTCCTCCGGCTCCAGGGCTACCCCCTGCAGCCCCGCCCAGAACAGCCTCCCTCCCTAGGATGAAGCAGCTGCAGAGGTCCCGGCTGAGCTGCCCCATCACCCCGCTGGGCAGGACCATGGCCACGTTCCCCGTGGCCCCCCGTTACGCTAAGATGCTGGCACTGAGCCAGCAACACGGCTGCCTGCCCTACGCCATCACCATCGTGGCCGCCATGACAGTCCGGGAGCTCTTCGAGGAGCTGGACAGGTGCGGACTTGGGGCTGGGCCTCGGGGGCCGTGCTCAGCCCCTCAGGGCCCTGGGCTGGGACACCCTGCGCATTGGTGGCCTCGTGTCAGCCCAAGAGCGGGAGGGAGAACGTGCCCCCAGTGGGGGAGGTCACACCTCACTCCTTTGTCCACCTCTCAGCCTGTCAGATTGGGGCACGCACGCACGCACACACACGCGCGCGCACACACACACGCACACACACACACTCACGCGCACTCACACACACCGGCTCAAGGATTGACCACGTGGTTGGCCATGGCGGACTGGCTCCTTTGACCAAGAAGCCGTGGGGCTGGGTCACCCCAGATTGTTTCTTCCAGTCAGCGTCTAGTCGGGGAGTTGCAAGGCCAGGCAGTGTCCATGCTCTTGGTCTTGAGAACTCTGTGGGGAGACGTTTCCCCCAAAGTTGGTTGAATTCTCTTCCGTGAGTGAGACGGACTGAACGTCAGGGGGAGAAGCAGGTGCCCTCGACGGCCGCCTCGTGCCACGCCCCGTCCCGGCCTCCGTCAGTCCCGAGTCAGTATCACAGCCGCACCTGCATGTAAGGGAGGTCTGAGGATCGAACCTGGACCCTCCCGTGTGATGCGCCCCAGAGTGTCATGTTGACCCCGCACTGGCGTCCGGCTTCCCTGAGCTGGGCGCCTTAACCTCACCCTCCGGGATGTACGGCCCTGCTCTGCCCTGGCTAATAGCGCGTTCCAGGCTGCCCCGCGGCCTCGGGGTCAGTGGAGCTGACTCCTGTGTGGCCAGCTGCTGTCTGACTCCCGCCTTCGCAGCCTGGAAAGCACACCCGTGTGTGGGGGTGCCTGTCCTGACGGACGGGGAGACAGTGGAGAAGCGGCGCTTTCTCCCTGGCCCTCCCTCCTGCCTCTCTGGTGCATGCACTCTCTGGCAGTCTGGAAACAGCCGTGTGTTCCCCCGAGGTGCCGGGACGCGGCCCCGACAGGGTGTGTGTGTTTGCAGGCCAGCTGCCAGCGAGGACGAGCTCGCCAAGCTGAAGGGCAGGCGGGCCCGGGCAGCCCAGCTGAGGAGGACCTGGGCCGGGCGAGGAGCGTCCCTGCAGCTCGGGGACATCATGGTGCTGCTGGGTCGGTGCCGGGCGGGTCCGGATGGGGTGGGGGCGGCACAGGGCAGGTCTCGGGGGTTCCCAGGGCCCCTGGCCCAGGGAGTGAGTGCGCCCCGCTCTGGCCATCCGCAGGTGCCGTGGGAGCCTGCGAGTACGCCGGCTGCTCGCCCCAGTTCTGCGCGGCCAGCGGGCTGCGGTACAAGGCCATGATGGAGATCCGGCGCCTGCGGGGCCAGCTCACCACTGCGGGTACGGCCCCTCCTGGCTGCGGCTCCGGTGGCCGGGTGCTCCCTCTGCACGGTTACAGTTGTCTTGACCAAAGCAATTCCCGGTTCCCCATCTGCGAGCGTGCCCGTCACCGTGGGGTGGTCGTGCCTGTGCCCGGGAGGGGAGGACATGGCACTCCCAATGCCCATGTGGGCATCTGTTCTTGGCCTCGCCCCTCCTGACCCCTGTTCCCCACTGTGGCTCGGACCTCTTCCCTCCCAGATGTCCCCAGGGACCTCAGACCTTGTCACGCAGAATGACGAGACCTCACCCTGGCCAGGCCTGGGCTCGGCTGCTCATGTGACTTCCTGGCAGCAGTGCCCCTGGGAGCTGAGGGAGGGACTGTCCCCCTCAGGACACAGCCCCTCAGAGAGGAGAGCCGGCACAGTGGGGCCCCAGATGGCCCATGTCCCTCTGAGGCTGACGGGGACTCTGAGACCAGGGCATGCAGGTCCCAGGCTCTGAAGCCGCAACTGGGCACTGCCTAGTGTCACATGGGGCCCTCGGAGGTGGCTCCCCAGCAGCCTCGTCCCCGGATGCACCAGTTCAGAATCACGGCAGCGTGGTCAGCAGTGGCTACAGCAGCTCGGCCACCACGGGCCTCCCCTCTTGCTGGGCAGAGGAGCGCGGAGCCAACGCCCAGTGGCTTCCAAGTCAGGGTCACCTGTAGGCCGAGAAGGCTACGTGGGAGCTTTAAGGGTCTCTGCCTTCCAGGCCGGAGAAAGAGGGGCTCAGGGCACCCATCCCCACCCAGCTCCCTGTCCTGCACGTGTCCAGGGACTCAGGCGGTTTCTACCTGCACACCCTGGACCAGAACCGGCCCCACGACTGTCCCTCAGTGCACCCTGCCCCACGCAGGAAGGGGGTTTCTGCCCCAAGGAGAAAGGGGGTGCTAGGAGGGGCACTGCGGTTCTGTCCCGCTCTGGGCTCCGTCTCCTGCCCGTGACCTGCAGGAGGTCCAAGACCAGTGGTCAGCCGAGCCTGAAGCCCTTTCCAAGTGCAGGGCCATGGCCGGCCCAGACTGGCTGTGGCCACCGCCCGCCCTCACGGCCAGCTCTCCCTGCAGTCAACGCCGTGTGCCCCGAGGCAGAGATCTTCGTGGACCCCAAGATGCAGCCGCCGTCCGAGAGCCAGGTGACCTACCTGCGGCAGATTGTGGCGGCCGGCCTGGGCGACCACCTGGCCCGCAGGGTGCAGAGTGAGGAGCTGTTGGACGACACATGGAGGAACGCCTACAAGGTGGGCAGGCTCCACGCACCGCCGCCTCTGCCCGACCGCCATGGGCACCTGGCCCGGGGAAGTCGGGCGGGGACCTGGGTGACCTGTCTTCCCATGACAGGGAAATGACAGCAGCCTGGGGAAAACCCTGCCAAGGAGTCTCGGCCTCCTTCCGCGAGGGCAGGGGTGAGTGCAGCAGTTTCTAGTCAGAGCCTGATCGAGATACCGTAAAATTAACCAATGCAGGCCCCGTGGTGGAGGGTCACTGCTGCCTGAGGACCACCTGGAGACCCGAGTTAAAATCCCAGACCGGCCTGGGTTGGTTGGGCGTGGTGGTGTGCACCTGGGGTCCCAGCCAGCGGAGGGGGCAGGGCAGAGTATCTGAGACCCTGTCTAGAAGGCCGTTGTCCCTCCTCCCACAGCCAGCCCATAAAGCCCAACTTGTTCATGGTGCCCGTCGGTGGTGGGTGGTGTGTCCGCAGGCTGTGCAGACACGTCAGTCATTTCAGACCCTTCCCTGCGCCAGGAGCTGCTCTTGCCCCACCCCACCCCACTCCCTGCTTCCTGCCCCTGGTCGTTCTGAGCAAGCTCGTGCATGGAAGGCCCGTGTCTGCGTCGTGTTCTTGTGGTTCAGCCTGTCGCAACAGTGCTGGGCTGGGTCCTTCCCTGGCCAAAGCGTGGCCCAGCACCCATCAGTGGGGGCGGCCTCCCGCCCTGGTGGCCGGCAGTGGCTGGCTGGTTCGTCCCAGGGTGGAAGGCCGCGTCTGCCGCTCGCCTTGCCCCTGACTCAGGCCTCAGTGGGGGCAGCCTCCTGCCCTGGTGGCCAGCAGTGGACGGCCGGTTCGCCCCAGGGTGGAAGGCCGCGTCTGCCGCTCACCTTGCCCCTGACTCGGGCCCCTCCTCTCTGCAGACACCTCTCCTCGATGACCCCGTCTTCATCCACCCCAGCTCCGTCCTGTTCAGAGAGCTGCCGGAGTTCGTGGTCTACCAGGAGGTGGTGGAGACCACCAAGATGTACATGAAAGGTGCCGAGGCAGGGCCCACGGCGAGGGGCCGGGACCCGGGGAGCGGGTCAGCTCCTCCCAGTGCCCCTGTGACGCCAGCCCTGTCCCCGACTGCAGGCGTCTCTGCCGTGGAGGTCCAGTGGATCCCAGTCCTGCTGCCCTCCTACTGCCAGTTCGACCAGCCCCTGGAGGAACCAGCCCCCACCTACTGCCCCGAGACGGGGCGTGTGCTGTGTCACCGTGCCAGCGTGTTCTGTGAGTCGGCCTGGCCTTGGGCACAGGTGCCCTCGGCCCCTGGGATAGGGGGCTGGGACGGTGGCCACAGGAGGCCCCGGCTCACCAGCTCATGCCCCCAGATCGCGTCGGCTGGCCCCTGCCCGCCGTCCAGGTGGACTTCCCAGAGGGCATTGACCGCTACAAGCATTTCGCCCGGTTCCTGCTGGAGGGGCAGGTAGGCAGCATGGGGCTCCTATGGCCCAGTCCTGGGTACGCAGGCAGGGGTGGCGTGGGATTGCTCACCCCCCGGCTCTCCCACAGGTCTTCCGCAGGCTGGCCTCATACCGGAGCTGTTTGCTGTCTAGCCCCAGCACCATGCTGAAAACATGGGCCAGGTACAGTGACCAAGCCTAGTGGGCCTGTGGCTGCCGTGACCGAGTGCCACACGCTGGAGCCTGAGTCTGCAGAAATGTGTTCTGTTGTGTCCTGGGTCCAGCATCGGGTGTCAGCAGACTGCACTTCTCCTGAAGGAACACGTGGAGGGTCCGCCCTTGCTAGTGGCTTCTAGAACCCAGCGTCCACCTCTGGGTTCCCACAACGACAACTCCAAGCATTTCCCCTGTGCTGGGGGACAGCTCCTGTCCCCGTGGCAGTGATCCCAGGGTAGGAAGGTGGCACCAAACCACATGACTAGTGCAGACCGCAGTGGCAAGACAGTTCCAGGGATCAAGCCGGGTAGAGGGAACCAGGCTCCGTGGGCTGGGCAGGGTCATGAGGAGCTCCAGGCTGAGAAGATTGGCAGGAGGCAGGGCCTAGCCACCTGACAGACACCTGGGGGAACATTCCCAATGGGACAGGGTTGCACATAGCCCGCAGTCTTGGCTGGAAGGTGTGAGGAAGGCCAGGGCCAGTCAGAAGACAGGGTGGTGGGAGCGGTGGCACCTAGGCCCTTCTACCGTAGGATAATCAGAGAGAGGTCTTTCGTGTCCCCAGCAGGGCTGGCCTGCTGCTGCCCCTCCAAGCTCCTGGGCAGACCGCAGTGGGCTGGCAGGTGCAGACTGACCAGCCACACCCTACACCCTGTCCCCCAGGCTGCAGCCCAGGACCGAGAGTCTCCTGAAGGCCCTTGTGACTGAGAAAGCCGACAACCGCGACACCCTGCTGGCTGCCTGGAAGAAGAACCCCAGATGTGAGCTTGGCCAGGCCTGGGCTGGGAGCGGGTAGGACGGGGCCGTGAGGCAGGGGCCTTGCGCTCTGTGCCAAGAGAAGGCCTGACGCAGTCCCCTCCCCTGCAGACCTACTGGCTGAGTACTGTGAGTGGCTCCCACAGGCCATGCACGCCGACATCGAGAAAGCCTGGCCCCCCACCTCTGACCGCTGACCCGACCCCAGGCCCAAGGACTGGTGTGGGGCCTGAGGGCCTGACGGCTAGCTGCCAGCAGCCTGACCACCACCCCAGCCGCTCTCAGGAGGCAGATGAGCCCGTGAAGCCCACTCCGGACGAAGATGGCTACCGCCAGGGCAGCTGGGCTCCATGCCACATGCTGGACCCCGCACACAAATGCCCCGCTAGGCTCCTAGACAGCGGCAGTGCTGGGCGCGTCTGCAGGCCCTTCCCAGAGGTGCACACAGGCCACCCCTTGCAGGCCTGACCCTGGCCTTAGAGCATCCCAGGTGACAAGCTTCAGGCCTCTGCTCCAACCCGGGGAGCAGACCTTCCCAGACACCTTTCCTGTGTGTGGTACAGGAGTGGGCGTCTCCCCTCGGTCAGCCCTTGACCTTTGTTGGTCACCTCTGCCAGCCGCAGAGGCAGGCCTGCTGGCCTCGAATGGAAGTCCCGGCTCTCTCCCACTCTCGCCTTCCACCAGCAAAGAAGGGACGGGAGGACCCCAGGCACGACCGAGGCATCAGGAGGCCCCGCCTTTCCACCCTCCCTGGGAAGGGCCCAGACGGCTCAGAGCTGAGCTGGGTCAGGACGGCCCTGGGCCTGGCTCCCTGAGGTGCAGCTTTGGAAGCAGTTCTGAAATAATAGGTTCCTCCCTGGGCCCTGTCAGGACACCCCCTCTTCTCTGCCAGGATCTCTACTGTGAGTTTTTTTAGTAAAACTTTTAGAAATGTCTTCCTGGCCAGCTCCATACCCCGAGTGGTTAAGGGAGCCTGATCCCATATGGCCAACAGCATGGTTCAAGTTCTAGCCCCAGCGGCTTGAAAACCAAGGTGCCAGTGTGTGAACGTGCAAGATCCCCACTGGGTGGGGAGTGGAGCCGGGGCTGCAGCAGGACCACGCTGTACTGGGGGCGCTTTCTCCCTCCGGTGAGTGCTCACACTGGCAAGTGAAAAGATAAGGTACAAAGCAAGGTCCCCTGTGGGGTCAGGCAGCAGCACGCTGGTGAAGCAGGCTGCAGGCCGACCCCTGAGGGAAGGTTCTGGGCTCACGACCTGAGGCCTCCTCCTGCAGCCGCTCAGCAGCAGGTCCCTGCCGAGAGCGCCAGCCCTCCCTGCTCCTGGAGAAGCGTGCTAAGCAAAAAGCTGCTCCTGGCCGAATGGGCTCATGGGACAGACTTGGGAAGATGCCCAGGTGGACCCGGCCTGGGCCTGGCACCGCCTTCCCCCTCCGGGGCTCTTGCCTGTGCAGGCCCCTTCTCAGTCGTGCCTTACCCCGTCACCCGGCAGCACTGAGACATCCTTGCTAATGTGGGACAGAGACATTCTCCACCCGGACTGCCTCTCCAACTTCACCCTGCTGCAGGCGGCTGCAGCCAGAACCGCTGGTGTGTGGCTGGCCCCCGACTTCTGCGCCACGTCCCTCTTGCCACCACTGCAAAGGTACCAGTGACGTCCAGACAGCCCTTGGGAACTTCTGTGTAATTACTAAACCGTGAAGTTCACCATTGGGACCTGTAGAGTCCCGTGGGTCTGTTCCCAGACGTCACGATCTACCTCCAGGGCATCTTGTAGCCCCAAAACACACCCTGCCCCCCCTCAGCCCTGCACCCGCTCACGGCCCGTCTCCAGTTGCCTGTTCCAGACATCGTGTTCTTTAGGGGTCCGTAGGTGGCATAGTGATTGAGGGCACTGGCCGACCGTGTTTGAGCCCCGGACCCGGTGGCTTGCTTTCTCACTTCCTCTCTTCAGTCCCTCTCTGCTCAAATTAAAACAAGTAAATAAAGTTAAAATAATTTTTTACTAGTGTTCTTTGAAGCACAGAAACTTTGTTTACGTGTGTGCTTACTGGAGAGAGAGTGAAATCACCCTCCAGGGGAAGTGGCCATGCCGCGACCCTTCATTCTCAGGGTTCTGGGCGCGCACACACAGGCCTGGTGGACTTTTCAGACCACCAGGCCCAGGACTCCGACCGTGCAGTTAGCCGTGTGGGGTCTCGCTTTCTGTCTCACTCTTCAGCAAGCACATCCACCCTGTAGCAAAAGCCTTTTAAAAATAAGCCACTCTGGGAACCAGCAGTTGGCGTAATGGCTATGTCGCTGGACTCCCACGTAGTCGACCGCAGTTCGCATCCTGGACCCGGTGGCTTAAAACTCACGCGGGGCGCGTGCGTGTGTGCCCAAGATCCCAAGAGGAGAATGGAGGAGAAGGGATTGCAGCCTGACCATCCCCCCTGGGGGGTGATTTCTCAGTTTCTGTCTCTATGTCTCTCTCTCTCTGTCTGGCAAGCGCACGCGCCCTATAGCGAAAAAAATCTCTCCAAAAAAAATAAATAAACCACTCCTAGAAGGGCTGGCAGGTGGCATGGTGGTTAAGGGTACTGGGCTCCCACATGGCTGACTGGTTTGGGTCCTGGACCTGGCAGCTTGCCTTCTCACTTTCCTTCTGTCTCTCTCTCTGTCCCTCTTGAGTCAAGTAAAAGCAAACAAATGAAAGTTAAATAAAACCTAAAAACCCACTTCTAGTCATGGGTACTTGGCATCTGTTCAGTGCCCTGGCTTACGTGTCAAGTCCTGCCTGTGTGTGTCCACAAGACCAGTGCCAGAACTGCCGGAGATTGGCTGAAGGATGCCCAGGCCACCTCTGGAGCCCAGCCCGGTGTGGACCACGTCACCACCTGGCGGGAGCCCTGTGAAGAGCCTCCACTGCCCGCGGGATCCAGGCCCACCCAAACATGGCTTCTGAGAACAGGCCTGCACAGACACTCCAGCCCTCTGCCTTGTTCCCTCCCACGCCCCCGGCTGCTTCTCCCCTCCAGAATCAAGCCCCCTCGGGGTCCCTGCCCGTGGGCCTGGCCACCCTAGACAGCAAGCTGCATGACAGCAGGTCCATTCCGCTCACCGTCTTGTGTCCCATGTCCCTGTGACTCCAGATGTGAGAAAACTGCAGAGTGTTGGTAAAAAGTCCAGAAAAGGGGGCTGGACTCCCACATGGCTGACCACGGTTCGAGTCCAGGACCTGGGGCTCGCTTTCTCACTTTCCCATCTGGTCAAATTTAAAAAAAAAAAAAAAAAAGTAATTATTTTTGTAAAAAATCCAGAAAAGGCTTCTAACACAAAATATGAGGAGTCTTCAGAACGTTCATAGAGAATATGTTATCAGAAACATCTCTACATAGATTTCAAAATTTATTTGCACCAAGATAAATTCGTACTTTAATTCCACCTTAGAAGTCCCTTGTACACATTCCAAAAAAACACAAAAAGAAAGGGAAGAATCTGACCTCATGGGAGTTGTAGGTCGATGTGGCACGTGAAGAAGGCAGAATAGCCGAGAAAAAATTTGCAAGACGTGAAGAAAGCATGAGGTGAGTTTTGCAAGAAAAACACCACAGGTAAAAGCTATGAAGTGAATTGGGAACACTACATGTAGGGACCAGCAGATGGCGGAATGGTTACGTTGCTGGACTCCCACGAACTCCACCGTGGTTGGAGTCCTGGACCCTACTGCTTAAAACTGACTGCGCGTGCCCAAAATCCCGAGAGGAGAATGGAGGAGAAGGGATTGTGGCATGACCCTACTGCTTAAAACTGGCTGGAAGTTGTGTGTGTGTGTGTGTGTATATGTGCGCGTATGCGCGCATGCCCAAAATCCGGAGAGGAGAATGGAGAAGGGATTGTGGCGTGGTCATACCCTCTGAGGGTGATTTCTCACTTTGTCTTTCTGGCGAGTACACACACCCTATAGCAAAAATCTCTAATGAATTGAAAAAAAAACCCATGTAAATAGCTAGTAGAGAAAGTTTGAAAAGATGGCTACTCTCCAGCAAGAAATGAAAATTGTATTACTGTATACCCCACGGATTTGGAAGGAAGTATCTTAGCCTGGGGTGGGGAGAACAATAATGAAAATAAAAATGTTCTGTAAATAGCGATAGCCAGGCCAGCAGGTGGCGGGGTTAAGGTGCACGGGATAGGGGTTTGAGTCCCGGACCTGGCAGCTTGCTTTCCCACTTTGTCTCTCTGGTGAGCGTGTGTGCCCTGTAGCAAATTAAATAGTAATAATAATAATAATAAAATAATTCATTTAAATAAGGTAAGTGGAAGTAGTCGTGCCCGGTCGGCCGCAGCGTCCTCGGTGAGAGGTAGCCCAGGAGACAGTGTGCGCTCCACGTCACGGCGTCCCAGCAGCGAGGCACAGCCCTGCCCACCCCACCCGGGCCAGGGAGTGCTGGGGACTGTCCCCAGAATTTGTCCGGAAGCCCCTTATTCTCCTCATCTCCGCTGCCGCGCGCTGGAGGGTGCCGCCCCACGCCCCCTACCC